TCACCTACGGACAGAACGGAAGATGTTGCTGCGAAGGTCGCTCCTCACAAAAGGGCTCCTCTACCACCGTCGTGGTGCACGGACAGACTGTTTTTGCGAGTCGTGGAAAGAGTAGCTGACCAGCCGACCAAAACATCTCATTGTTCCGTTTATGGCGTGTTTTGGGTACGGCCGACGACGACCTCTCCGCTTACGAAGGCCGAAACGAAATTCGCTTCCTCGTTTGTAGCAGTTTCCACGTCGCGGTACGTCGCGGTGCGTGCGTGAAGTGCGTTGAGCCGGCGCAGACAGCTCGCAAAAACTCGCCGCAACGAGCAGGATGCAACGAGCGCAATCGGTATTTCCTATCGAGCGTATGCGGCCGAAATAGAGCGATTCCGGTGTATATCGTTAATGCGCCGTGATTCGGAACGTCGAAGGGCGGAAAAAGTTGCCCCTTCTCCCGACTATCGCCCCTTCTGTCCCGCTCCGTCACGCTGAGAACGCGATAATCGGGACAATTATGAATAAGCAACGCGGTTGCTATTTTCCATATTTGATATCCGTGTCCTAATATCCTTTTTAAAGTATTCTTTCTTCCTTCTTTTAATTCCTTTCCCCTTTTCAAATATTACTCGAGCGAGTGAGAAATCTTCAGAGGGCTGATGTCCGCTTAAATCTTTGTAGGAGTTTAAGTCTTTATGAAAAGACAGTTTAAAACTAAGGTTAAGGTTTTAGTCTGTCATATTAGTCATTTTGATCTACACTTCGAATAATTTAATTAAAAAAAAAATTAATTAATGTTATTTCACTTTTCCTCTGCAAAAAGATGATTAAAAACATTAAGAAAATGCACAGGACCGACATAATGCAGTTTTATAGGGAAGAACGTCCAACAACCGGCACTCATTACAGCTCTCACCAGTTTTTAGCACCCTTGCTCAGATCCCATCAAATATCAAGGTGTATAGAGATTTATCAATTGTTTATTATTTATTTATTCGTTTTTCTTTTAAATTTCCCAGTACACCTTGATACTCGACAACGTCCGCGCAAGAATGCCGACTACTATTGGATGATTCCCCTATTTTGTACTGTTCTTCTATTTAGTTGTACAGAATTGCAGTGTCAATGAATAGTGGGTCGTACCTGATATTACATAAAAAATTTTTAACAATTTTAATCACAAAATTATTTTTTTATATAACATGGGGTATTTCACCATATATTGACATTTGTACTTTTACTCTGTATAAACATTTCTAATTCTATACAACCAAATAAAAAAAGAGTGAAAAATACGAAAGCTACCTTTATATCAATATCCAACGGTACCTTTAAGGCAGGTTACAAGTGAGAGACAATTAAGGGAGTCAAAACGACATTTCTTTGGTAAAAACTGTTACTAGTGCTACTACCAGCATTGGCATCGACGTTGGTAGAAACGAGCATGAGAGACGAATCCCAGTCGATCGGAGCTAACATATATCCTCGTTCGCGAGGTTGATAGGAGGCCGCAGCCACTGCAGCCAGCGAGAACGGAATCTCTTCGGCTTGCGCGACAAAAGAAACCGTTGAGAGTTCGTCACTCTCCGGAGGACCCGCCGGTTGCCGTGGAAGCCCGCGGATTCCCACGTGGGCCGTGCGTCGAAGGATGCGGGCCGAAAATATGCAAATCTTGACGCGTATCCCCGTGCTCTCGCGCGATTCCTCATTCTGCTGCCGGGGCTGCCTGCCCGGTTTACCCACTTGCGCGGTACCCGAGGAGGACCCACGGCAACCACTCTCTTTCTCTCTCTCTCTCTCCCTCTCTGTCTCTCCTTCGTTTCTTCTCTCTCTCTTTTCCCCGGTGTCATTACCATACGTGACCATAAATGAAACCTGTCTCTCCTATCCGGCGTAACAATAGGACAATCGCGCCTCGCGCGACACAAAGGCGACGTACGTGTCCCTCTAAGTGCGTATACATATGCACCCTCTGCCGTAGGTCTCAACTTTTCTCTTCGACTCCCTCCGCGTGCTCCGTTATCCTCCTCGCTTCTAGACCGCGAGGTGTCCCAGGCCAACGGTCCTGCGACAGGATACCGGTTCCAGCCTCGCATCCTGAAGCGGGACGTTTCGTCCTGCCTTCGCAGGAAGGCGTCGCGCCACGGAGTGCCCATTGTCTAGTCGCGATTAGGCGAATTCGAAAAATGGCTCGGGCCCGATGCTGGAAGCCTAACGGTCGTCGGTGAGTTCATAGGTGATCGTTTTTCTGGATTCCCTTCGGAGCGAACGACGGTCAACGGCCGTGCAAGACGGATATTTTCTAGGGACCAAACCCGATCGGGGATCCTTCCTCAGAGCGAGTCCGTGATAATTCGTTACGACGAGGACCTGAATTTTCGTTTTACCATTTCCTTTTTTCCCTTTCTTTTAACGACTCGCTCGACCAACGACAGGGACCAGACAGAAACTTAGAGAGTTCTCTTTGACTATCTTGAACGGCACCATATTGCTATAACGGTTGAACCAAGGTTTGTTCGCTTCATAGCTGCACTAAGTTGCACTGTTCGCATCGAAAATGAAGTGGATTCATATTTTCTTTTCCAGAAAAGAAAAAAAAAGGTTTTTGTTGATAAAAAAGAATTCAGAATAAAGACCAAGGATTACAAGACGGTACAAAAGTATTCGAGAGTATTCAGCTTTCCTTACTTTTTTCACATTTCTAATTTAATATAATATTGCTTACATTTGACGAGTGAACAGTCAACAGTGAGAGAGACAGCGCAGTCAGTTGCGATTTGTAAGTTTACATTCTTTTAGTAACAACAGAACTTGAACGGCTTTTCTCAATGGACGAGAAACGTTTCAGTGTTTTTCAAATCATTATAAGGTAAATATACCAATGCCCGGACATGTACCTAATTCCGGACACTGTTATTATTTTGAATATTTCTCTAAATATTTCATCTTTCAACGTACACTAAATATAAATATTAAATGTATGTATACCACACACATACACATACACAATATGTATGTATTGTACATTGAAAGTTGAAATATTCATATTCAAATATAAAAATAATAACAATGTCCGGAGATGAGTACATGTCCTTATATTTACCTTATATTTTGTTTTTTTCCAGCATAAGCACAAAGTCCTGAATGTTTCGGTTAAGACAAAGGTTTGATGTCTCCAAACAAAACTCAAAGATGATGAACATATTTTTAATGAGCGTTAGAAAGATAATGCTCAAAGATAAACATAACACTTCTTCACACAAAAACAAGAAATAGAAATAAGATAACGGTAGATCAAGGAAAAGAACAATAATAGGTTATGAAATAAAATTCGATTTCTTCAACAACCTGGAAGGTGCATCTATGAAGAGAACAGAACTTCTCTAGAAGATCCATATGATTCAGACGAGCATTACCACCTCCACTTTCGCAAGAGATTACTTCCATCGAATTAAAGTCGCGCCAAGGGACTTCTCGGGGACGTCGAACGGTAACGTCGACGCAGCCCGTTCCTTTCTTCGGGGTTCTCCCTTTATCTTTCGACGCCCGTAAGAGGATCTCCGCGGGCGCGGGGAGCAGACTCCCACACTCTGAATGAGCCGTGCGGGTTTTTACGCAATCTCATCGAATCCGCTGTGGGTCATATTGTTGCCGAGCCACACGCTGCGTTCGCGGGTATCTCGGATCCCGTGGCCTTTCTCCCATACCTGACCTGAGATAATCCCGTCCCGGTGCGATGGGTGCTTTATCCCATGGGACTTGGTGCACGGTACGGCCCGTGGGCCTCTCTTCCTGGTGTGTGTGTGTGTGTGTGTGCATGTATCTCTCCCGCGGATTCGAAAATGCCTGCACTGTATAGGGGTTCCGTGTCGGAGGTAGACCCGCTCCGATTTTTCTCTTTTATGTCGCTCTTCGACCCCTCGTTGTGACGTGTCACAACGCTATGGCGAATCTCGCGGCGGCGACGACGACGACGACACGGCGAGGACGACGACGTTTGTCACCTAACTATTTCTGTCGACTGAGAAAGAGAGAGAGAGAGAGATTCGACGAGGGGGGGATTCTGTGTTTCCCTTCAGATTCGGAAAATAGATCACCCCGGGCTAGAATCGCTTTTTGATCGAGGCTACCCTGCTTTCAGGCTCTCAAAAGCGTCAGGGAGAAACGCTGGTGAGAGGGGATACGAGAGAGAAGCTACAAGCGCGCGAGATCGCTGAATATTGGCGAGCTTTTTAAAACGTTGTATTGCGGTTTGCGAACTTCGCGAGTCTTCTATCATCCACGCGGACGTCTGGCGATACGACTGGCCGGCATCGGAAGGCGAGCGAGTATTATAATCTGCACGTTTTTGGTCTGTTTTTGCGTACACTTGCAAAACTGTAAAGGCGATTCGTCCTTCGTAACCTTTCTCACGTCCGCGAGTTTAGGAAACTGGTTTGAAAGGTCTTCCGGTGCTGTCGTTTCGTGGAATCCCGGGAGATCGATGGCTCCCCTCGAAAATTTGATCGCGATAAACCGTGGATCGTCTTCGCTATGTCGAACAAAAAGTAAAACGAAGGAAAAAGAAAAGAGGGAGAGAGACAGAAGAGACAATCTCCTTCTCTCTTTTTCGCGGTTGGCGCGAGATGACAGCCCCGAGAGACCTCGTTCGACCAGCCGGGTCTCGATGTGGTTTCTTCATAATTTAAAGCGAATTTAGGCGGATTTGAAACTCGATCCGCGCCATTGAAACTTTATCGCGTGTCTTTTGCGTTATTATTCGCCTCCACTCATTTCCTCGTTACATAAATCATTAGTCTATAATCGATTAGAAATTCCTCGCTCGACGTTCGCCGTGCGCATTTCAATATTGTATACAGAAAGCTATAAAACAGCAGGTGTGTTTATACGATTTGAGACTGTCACGTGTATGTTGTGTGTGTGTGTGTATGCTATTTTCAGCATGAAATTTACAAAGAAATCACATCGATGCCCGGGGAAGGAACAAAACGTTCCAAGAGTAACTTGTTGCTCACCAATGACGGATTAGCCGGTTCTTTTCCGATCTTCTCGGACGGTCGATCTTCGCGAGAGCCGGTGGCAAAAATCCCTCGGGACACAGTGGCCGCACCTCACAAGGAAGAGGAAAACCCGGTGGTCCTCGTTCCACTTGCCGAAATACTATGTACCGATTTTGCTTAAGCCCACAAAGCGGCCGGGAACGTTCCGCCTTGTCGCGCACTGCCGGTCGGTGTCCGACTGCCGAGAGGATCGGTAAGGATCTGCTCCACGTGGTCGCGCTGTTCTCGGACACAAGCGAGGAGATATTTACGTCACGTGACGCTGAACCTCTCCGTGGATGCTTCACGGTTGCGATTTCACGCTTTCCTCGAAGACACGTGCAGCGGCGATGAGGTAGGAGAAGAAGAAGAAGAAGAGGAGAACGAAGAGGAAGAAGAGCAAGAGACGGAGAAGGAAGAGGAGAAAGAGGAGGAGAAGGAGAAGAAGGTGAAGAATGAGAAGGAGAAGTGAGACATGGAGCGTGAGTCACGAGAGAGAAGTCGAAGTCTAAAATCGAACCGCCGGTTTCCAAGGATGCTCGGTTCGAACTGAGAGCACGAAGAAGTCCCTCACGAGTCTCCAGCTTGGGTGTGGGTTTTCGGTTTGTTTTTCCTTTTTTTTCCTCTCCGTCACTCTCGCTCTCCTGGCCTGCGGTCTCTCTCCCACTCCCACCTCTTGCGCCTCTTTCTTTCTCACTATATGGGTTTGGTCTTCTCTGTTCGCTCCCTCGCTCATTCGCTCTCTCTTTCTTTCTCTTTCTCTCTCTCTCTCTCTCTCTCTCTCTCTCTCTCGGTTTCTCCATCTCTCGCTCGCTCTTCTCCTCTCCAACTAGTCCTTTCTCTTTTCCTCGTCAGGGTCGATGTTGTGGGCCCCCAGGGCCTCTGAGTGGCGGTCGTCCTGCCGTCAGGAGAGGGGGTCTTAACCTAACATAACCCGGCCGAAACACTCCCCACCACGTGTAACCCTCAACCCTTACCCCTACCATCATCCACTACGGGCCTCAACGAAAGAACGAAGGTGTTCGCGGGCTCGTCGATGGTTAGATATGTGGCGGGCCACGTGCGTTGTGTGGGTGCAGTAATTTAAAGGCGAAGAGAGCGCACAGTCATTCTCACACCGCCGGTACATTTAATAATGCGCAGATCACGCGAAAATTGCCCATGAAAATACGCAAGAGAGGCATATGTGCTTTAATCGCAGATAGACTTTCCCCACTTTCCGACTGTTGTCCAATTGGGACAGAAGAGAGACAGTCGCTATTTCCGCAGACCAACCTCCAGAATTACACGCTGAAAGGACCACGAGATAGACCATGGCGAAAGTATTATATCCCGTGAAATCTTTGACTTATTTCACATCTTTATTCACGTACTCATTCGCGCTCGAGATCGAAACACGACACATTTGCGGCGTGCACACAGGGACCAGCCGAGCTCGGATGATGGGCACGGGAGGAATAAGAAAGCTGCAGGGTCTTCTACAGGGCGAGACCCACATGCAGGGGCACTCACACATTTACTTACTCACTTACTCACGCACGCATGTACGCACCGACGCACGTACACGCTCTCTCCAAGGGACATCGCCTTCCCGCGCTCGAGCTCCCGTGCGTGCACGCACACATGAGGAGCGCGAGGAGAAGAATCATCCTAATATACCCTGAGAAGAGACGTAGGCAGACCTGCCCCCTGCTTCGAATGCGTTTCACTCGCGATGCGTGTAATACGCCCGCTGCTGCTGCCGGCCTGCTGCTGCTGCCGTTGGCCGGCAGCGCGTATTCACGATGCGTTCATCATGAGATCCCCGGGGATTTCAGGTGGTTCGGAGGAAAAATCGTGTGCTTTAAACTTGCAAACTAAATGGAGAAAATCGCGCCACTGAGATTTGTGCCCCATTCATAACGACCGCTAAGTATCCCTAATTAGCTATCTCATTTGTATAAGATTATGTCATTAGGTCCTAACTATTAATCAATAGTGAGATATTAACGGCACATAAGGAGCAAGAACGGATGTCTTAGTGCTATTAAATACTAATATTACTTTTTAATATTAATATGATTGTGGGAGGATAAAATTGTCCAGTATGTTAAACGCACGTATCGAAATTTTTTCTTCGATTATCGTACGTGGAGAATCAACCTTCCATACTTAGACCGATCCTTGAGTCTCAATTTTTAAATATATATTTTTATTAAAATCCCAAACCCCATTAAACCGAAGACTCAAATAGATTCCTTATATATGTTGTTCGGTCTAACTATTAATCCCTTGACTGTGTAGCGAAAATGAGACTTTCGTGCCACTAGTGTGTAAAAAAAGTTTCTTCTTATATTTTCGCTACGATTTCAGTATTAAGGTTTTCAAGGTTGGTGAATCGGAATATGATATCAGAATTTCAAAATTCAAAAAGGCGGATCAAAATATAAAAATCCAATTATTTTTTCAATTTTTCATCTGCCATTTTAAATTTTGAGATTCTGATATTATATTCGGATTCAGAGACCTCAGAAACTGTAAGATACCAAGCTTCATACAAAAGGATAAATCGATTTTTTAAAAGATGTACATATATATACATTGGTGCCATACTGGTGGCACGTGCTTTTTCTGTACATATATGACACATACACACTCAAGGGGTTAATAATCCTTAATATTAGTAAGGTCTTAAAATCGTATTCAGGACAGGTAACGAATATTAAATATATCTTTCTGATTCTCAAATCGAGTCATTGGATCAACATTATACGTGACCTAGATTAGAAATTTATCCCATAGTCTTGATTAAGTTGATCCCAATCTGAGTTGAACTCAATCTGGGTTGTATAAGATAATGTTATCAGATTGTAAATATATCAATAATCCTAGGTACTAATAAGATCTTGGAGCCATATTCTGAGCGCGTATTTAAACATTAAATACGCTTTTCTGACTCTCTAAATGAATCAATGTTGTACGGGGCGTAGAAGGGACACAAAACGTGAAATCAAAAGGACATACTCAACGTTCGCTATGCGTCCAGAATGTCACCCCTGAATGCCACATTACGTTACATAACTTATTAGGATCTGATAATCACTTTACACAAAAAATAATCGATAACTAACAAATAACTAATTAGGATGGAGGGTAAATTTCTAATAAGGACGTTCATATAAGAAAAATAGAATTTGGAGTTAAAAAGAAATATTTACCATTTACTAAATGCATTCAGAGCAAAGACCTTGTCTTTCGCGTGACGAAGCGATATAGCTGTCTTTCTCGTGGAAGACGCACCGAGGAATCTCGCCCGATCATATAAATCATGATATATGGGAGTCGCAAAGTCTTTTCACGGCTTTTCTCTGTCCCATAAAGTGAAATTCCCGAGAAGGATAGGGATCGCGGGAGGCGCAAGTCGCTGCATTATCGAAATTGATAGTTTAAATCAAGGCCCTTTCCCGCCGAATCTCATCGCGAGCTGGTAACTGCGACAGGATCGACTGGTCGCCTTGAGCGAAGTGTGTTTGCTAAAATATCCAAAGACCTACCGCAGTAAATCGGGTTAATTACGCGGGCGGTGGCATGCTGTGATTGGTCAATGAACAGCCACGAGCACGGTGGTCCCAATTAGGTCACCCGGGATGCCGAAAAAGGGCTCGTGTTACTGTCCTCGGAGGCCACGGCGACGGGCCAGCTGACGAACAGTGACAATCCCGACCAGATTTCCCGCCGCTACTTGCACGAAGAGAGCTCGTGGTGTCAGCCGACTTGCTTCTCGCGTAGGAAATCGTCGAGCGCGCGCGCGGCGAGGTTGTCGAAAAGAAAAATAGAAAAACCAAGGAAGAAATCGAAAGAAAACTAATCGGTTCGCGTAATTAGATAATTTTACAGTTTTGACCGGGTGTTGTAAGATTATCGGCGACCCAAGTTCTTCGGTATCTGCCTCTATCTGCGCGGCCGTTGTTTTTCCATGCGATAAAAATCCCGTTTAGAGGTCTCCGGACTTGAACTTTGGAATATACGAGTTGCCGATAACGTCACTGTTTATATAGCCACTGGACACATTCGATTAATCGGACATACGCATACGTATCTTGATGATTCAGGAGAAGCTGCGAGTGCAGCGGGGGGCAGCTTCGTAGCTCGAGAGTCACGCGCTTCGAATTGATTGGACGAATGCGATTTCAACGGAGAGAGATTCGACGTCTGCTGCTCACCGGTGGTCCGATGAGGGATCGATCGGTTTTCGCGGTGATTTGCTCGACGCACGTCGAGTACCGTAACGAATTGAACCGGATGTATTGCGCTGTCGCGCGCACGCGAGTACGAACGGGAAAACAGACCGGGGCCAGTGATCAAGGCCGTGCGCGAGCTCGAAGGTAGCGGCGCGACGGGGGTTAATAGCGATCTATTAATAGCGGTCATAAAATTTTTGTTGACTTCAAGAACCACGCATAATGCGGAATCGGACACTTTCTTACATTTCAATAAAGTCGTTCCGATCACCAGGACGGGATCGCTGAACGCAATACGTGCGTGTTCAAGCTTGTAGCCCTTCGTGTAATTTACCTAAATTCTAGTGATGACTTTTTAATTTTTGTTTAATCTTGATGTTACATAGACTTGGAAAATTCGACAATGTGCGACGAACCATCAAAATAAAAATAATAATAATTTACTAATAATAATAATAAATCAAACGGTAAACTATAATTTAGAATAAAAATGCGTAATTTTATGATATTAAGGAGAGAGAGAGATCAATTAATATTAATATTAAAAATTGGGATTCAAGGTCAGTTTGACGTGAAAGATTCATTGCGTACGTTACAAAGATGCGTGCGTTGGCACTGTTAAAGATTATTATTTCTCCAATATTTAATAAAAATATATTCGCTCCAACATTCTGCTCTTACTTGCCTAATATGTTTAATTGTATATTTTGAGAACTCGTGTATATAGAATAATAATAATAACATATTCAGTAATGCAAACATTACTGAATATAACATAATAATAAATGACGGAATATTAATGAACAGTAATACAATTTACTCTATGAACATTATTGAATATATATTAATAAATTATTCGGATAAAAGGCAAAATGTATCTAGATAAACAGATGTATGTAAATTTGGCAGCGATATTTATACCAGCAGTGACTTTATACTAGTTGACTTTCGAAGATTGCGTTCCTTATGAGTGGTTCATATGGCATTTATATTTATCATGTAGAGTGATAAAATAGAGATATGAGAGAAACAGGGAAAAATATGTCAAACATTGCTTCAAATTGTATGTCACATAAAATGTAATATGAAAATTGGGTTGTAACTTTGAGCAAATTTGTTGCCGCGTCAATGCAGTAAAAATTTTTAATGATTGTATTATGTACATTCAATGGTTGATTCAGTATATTTGCTTCATAAGTGTAATTAAAAGAATGATAAAAAGTTTCCATCCATCACTTGTCCCACACCGTGAAACCACGAAGTCAATCTCGGTAAATTCCGAACGACTTGTGCTCTCATTATACTTGCGTTCGTCTGGGATAATCCGTACCTATTGGG